GATTGCTAACTACTGCCTACATTGGGAAACAAGGAAATATTCCCTTTGGGCAGGTATCCTCTTTCCTCATTCATAAATATTGCAAACTGGTCATCTCTAGAGTTTGCTGAAGGGAATAGAACAGAGGTAAGTAACCGTTTTGAGTGAACTGATATATTTGGTGCACATGAAAACATATATGCAATTGTAATGTGTTGCTCATATGCTCCTCTATATATCAGCATATAAATATGTAAACAGAGAAAGGAATAAAAATGGGCTCCCAACAATACATATACATGCTTTTTTATCTCTCTCTGTCACATGACATTGATTTAGTTTTTTTGTACTACAGGATTCCTGGGTGATAAACAGAGGACTAACTTTGCCCCCCCCCCCTCTAAAATCATACTGCGTAATAGCAAAACAATAGTGTAATGGTAATGTCATTCATGACCAGGCTAGATAGTGTGACCCAACAAATGGTACATATGCATTGGTGTCTGCATCCCAAACCACAATGATGCCAAAATGACAACATTTCTAGCACTAGTACCTAAGTGACAAAATTTGTCCCCCTGCATCACCACACACATTTCCTCATTTCCCCCTCATACTCCCCCTCAAGAGGACATCTTTGTGATTATGTCTCCATTTATGTCCAATTTTGTGAAAGTCCATGTCATTCTCATTACTAATATGTGCTTACCCATATGGAATCCAGAAAGAGACTAGCAAAGTAGACGAGGACATATTCCAAACATTCTTGGAAAAATTCTTAAATATACAGTGACAACAGCAATTTGTTTCCTTTTCTCGGTTCATTAAAGTTTTATACATAGGGGAAATTGGGATTATTTACTGTGCTGCACATTTTTTCGGTTTGCCCTCTCATCTTCTTTCTGTTGATCAGTTGTAAAGAAAACCAGTTTATTTATGTTTGTGCACTTCTAACTATACCAACACTGTAAGCAACTAGCTTCACACACCACTAAAGGTGATAGGAATGCCAAAGTTGCAGTAGTGGAGGACCCCAGAATTACTGGAAATCTTGAACTGGGTAAGACAATCATTCAGGAGGTATGCTAATAAAGCTGTGCTAAGACAATACTTCATTAATTGCCCACACTTTCATCAGGCGATGTAAACTCGAACTTCCACATGACATTGTCAGATGCAAATATCTGAACCAAATAGACTACGGAATAGGAACAACTGTGGAGAAGTACTATCCAATCAGGTAGGATTGGATCCATTTGAAATAGATGAGCTGCTACAAGTATTAGTAGTGGGATTAAATATTTAAAGAGCAGTTTAAATTGTTTAAAGAGCAGAAAGCAATTTTCACAAAAGAACACTCATATTTTGAAGATCAGATTATTAGGGCTATGTCTGCACAGGTAAGAAATCATTTCATGATTTGAAATTTGGACTAAAAATTGAAAGAATCCTGTTATATTTGGTATCAATTAATTATCATGGACCCAATGAATTTGTTTTGATAAACCCATAGTTACTTAAGGAGGGAAGTATTACCTACTGAGTATTTTTATATTTCACTCTCTCACGCACACACACACACACACACAGACCATACTGTATGTACAATGAAGTCAGTTCAAGATTATGATTTGTCCATCCAATCAACAGAACCTAGCCCCTTTTCTTTATAAAATTATTCATTTTATATTCATGTAAGAATATAAGTATTATACCGTATTACCTTCATTAGATATTTATGATTAAATAGCCTGACATGAATGAAGCAGTAACATCATAAGTAGCATAGCTAAGCATTGTGTGACCATTTGCTGCAGTATTGATAATTAACAAGGAACACAGTTTTATAGTAACAAATTTATTCTTTTATACCATTTTTTAAAATAATATTTAAAATGCCAAACATGCTTTTCTATTTTCATTACAATAGATTGATTTAGTTACCCTACTTGGAGTTTTTAATTACTGCTTCATCAATGCAGCATAAAATCCATGCAAAGTTATATTTTGTGGTATCTTTATTGAAAATCCGTACAATCAAGCTAACACAGGAATGTTGAAAAGCTTTCATTTCTTCCTATAAATCTAATTATTCTTTATAGGCTTGTGCTTTCTTTTTACCTATCAAGTATGTGTGCAATTGTTTTTTATTCATGCAAAAATGTCTAATTGCTTATCCATTTTATCTGAGTCATGGTGTCCTATAAACAGTAGTCTTATTTTCTATAGGCGAGATCATTTCAACTCCTTTCCTTCTCATTTTGTCCAAGTTCATTAGAACAACTATATTGACAATATATTAACTTTCATGCTATTGCAAAATAGATAGTCTTGTAGATAAACAATTGTGACTATGTCAAGGTAGCAAAATTGTCTGTTAAACTTGCTCAGCAACGATTAAGCAACTAGCACAAGATCTTAACTGATATTTCTTCCATTTTTCTGCCTGAAAAACAGTAAGAGCTTCCTTGTCAAAAATCAACCTTTTTGCTAGGAAAAGAGATACCTGCACAGTTAATAATAAGTTAGAAGTGCACAAAAGTTGGAGTTCAAAAGCTAATGAGCTCAGAATAAAACAACTGTTTCAAAAGTTTTGAAATCACAGTACAATATGACATTCCAGATAAAATGGAGCTGTTTCAGGGGTATTGTTTATGATGTTTGAAATAATAAGCTGCAGTTCTACCTCTGCTACTATTGGCTGGGACAAAGAGGAAGAGGAGGAGATTAGATAGAACATAAGGTATAAAATCAGATGCTCATGCAAAGATAAACTATTTGGGGCTATTCTCCTCAACTAGATCGCTGAAAGGTATGTGCACTATGATTATTCCACAAGTGGTGTCATTAATATTACTGAGACTTCAGATAGCATATTGTGTATGCAAAATTATGTTTCTCTGTTGTTTACCATAAATTAGTAAATGCATGACATATATGTGCAACTTTAGGTTGAATTTCAAGATAAATGCAAAGATTTTATTGCTTTGGTTACTTGTTTGTTTTGCTATAGTTTTGACAGCTTGCTAAATGCAGAAATATGTTCACCACTTATGTATAAGTAAAAGAGAAAAAGCTAATAGCCAAAGAAATATATATATATATTCTTGTTATATTGTTCATGGATTATGTTAAAGCAAATCTAGACTAGATTCTGTGACTATTCATAGACAGCTTGCAAAAACAAATGCTTAAGGCCTATGTGACATGATTGGATTTTGTTTCAACAAATGAAAAACAACACAATTTCATTGTCATGAAACAGGTGGGATGTGATTTGCCTCAGGGAGGTGCTCCATGTTGTTTCTGGAGCTTCATCCTGTAGTTTCAGTAGCCAGAAGAGGCTTGTAACAAAAGCAGTTCCCATCACTGTCTTCATGAGTCAGAACCTCCCCAGACACAACCCAATGCCATAGTCTTGCTTTACTTTGAGAAGAGGATGGGAGGTGTCATTGTTTTGAGAAGCAGCTTCATGAGGATGCTTTCCATGGATCTTCATCAAAGTGAAAGTCCCTTCAGAACTTTGCTCATTCGTGTTAACTATTGATTCTGTGATTGCTCTGGGGATTTTTTAAAAATCAAAACTATGAATCGTCTCCTACCCTGCATTACCTGGCTGGCTTTCATAGCTATGGTGGGACTAGGACTCATGATCTTCTGCTTTTTGGCCTAGTGTCTTAAGCATTAAACCAAACTGACTATGCTAGTTATGCAGTGTTAGAATTGAAGTCCAAACATTTGGAAAGTGCAAAAGACTGTTCCTTCTCCTAAGTCTCCACTGTCTGCCCAGATGATACTGTACATGATGAGAACAGATGTTGCCCTCATTTGGAGGCTGTCAGAAGAATAATTTGGGTTGTGCAAGAATAAATCAAAATGAAATTCAGACAGCTGTGAGGAATGGAGAATTATTTATTTCCCAAAACAAAGAATCCCAAAGGTGCTTTTTCAAGAAGCAAGAGGCCTCTTCAAGCTTCTTGACTGAGAAGCGAAATATCTTCAAGGAAAAACAAAAAAAGCCCAATTGCCTCTTGAAAAAGCACGTTTGGGACAACCATGACCTGGATGACTCAGAATCTCCATAGACAAAAGCAAAGAGATTTGCCTATAGGGATAGCTACAGAGAAAATGGAGTACAGAGAGATAGTTTTATAGAGCAGCTTGTACTTGGGTCTTGAGGGGTGTTGATGTGTGTGATACTTGAGGGGTGTGGGTGTGTGTAAGTGTTGACCCTAGAGAAGGGGTTGATTAAATCAAGTAATGTGACTGGGTCTTTTCACTTGAATTGTGTTATAATTATGTTTACATTGTGTTGAATTTTGTGTGTTTACTTATGAGTATTTACAATTTAAAATAATTGTTTAATTCTTATGTTTGTGTAAGTTTAAAAGAATTTCAGAGGCTGTTAATCAGTAACTGTGTTGGAGAACTGGGTTAGCTAGCATATGATTTCCTATACAATATTTCTTCCAACAGTTATATAAATTTATAAATTCTTCCCACAGTGCTTAATCAGGTAGACCCATCTGTTCATCTACTTCATTCTTTTGTTGGCTGAACTATCAACAGTTGGCTTTGTCACCACAATGTTCTTATTAACTATCAAGTTCCGCTGCTTGCCCAGAAAGTGACTGTCCAATGCTATTTCCCTCATACTTGCTCTAGTACCATATAGTTGCATTTTACATTATAAGTCTACCCACAAACAGAAGATACTTATTTCAATCTAGAAAATTGGATTAATTAAATAACCTTTATTTAGTTAGAAACATGTCATTAGAGTACTCCTTCAATTGCTCTAAGTTTGCTTGTGTTATCGAAATAAATACTTAACAACAGCATTTCATGTTCTGGAATAATTGATAGCCTGCAAAAGTAAAAATATACCTTGGGGAGTGGAAGAAAGAAAGCTAGGGAACCAATCACACTGACTTTGACTCTGTCCTTCTCTGTGTGTCCCAGACTCATTTCCAACCCCGAAGTCTCATCTCTTTCACTCCATCAAGGCAAGAAGAATAAACATGCAGTTGGAGCTGATCCCTGGGACAATAATACTGTTCATTCTCTTTCTGCTCATATTCTGGGCCTTCCGGTTTCAGCAAGAAAGAGTCAGATTTCCTCTTGGCCCTCCACCCTGGTTCCTTCTGGGGAATCTACTGCAAAAAGATGTCCTGCCTCTGTATAAAAACTACCAAAAGGTAAGACCTTTGATATGACTCCTTTCTTAGTGGATGAGAGATTCAAGAATCATTTGGGAGATTAGCAATCTCCTGTATTTTGAGAATATAGTGTGAAATGGGTATTTCAAAAGTTAGGGTTCTTTCCAGCAGTTTTTACATCCTTTTAAGATAGCTAAAACACATACAAATTTGGTCCATACATTGTGCCATAAACTATCATATAGTTTATCTATAGATGGCTCACTTGAAAACAGCTTTGAAATTTGGTCATCAGTGAAGAAACATATCTGTAAAATTATTAAGAGTTGTGTGAATCATATCTAGGGACCCTAACTGTTGTTAAAGGATTATGAATGCATGGATTAATTTCACAAAATGCATTATAATAATGTGGCAGATAAAGTAATAATGTGATTTTGATAAAGCATATTTGAGAACCTCCATGGCAACAATGGAGATGGATATCAGCATACTGACAACTACATGTTGGATCGGTTTATGGTCAAGGAAAAGTTGAGATGTGACCTGGTAGTGGTCCATTACCATACACAGATCACTCTCTGACTCCCTTTGTCTCAAGAGTGTCACCCATTCCTGCAGGGAGACAGGGTCTGTTGAATCGACCCACTCTGATGCTTGATAGTGTCACTTGTCCTTCCCAGTCCGTGAAACAAGACCAGTAGTCAGGAATGGGTTGACATGCGGTTTAATCTGTATAGGAACAGAGTCAGCACTGGGAGTGATCTGCTCCCAGCGCTTTACATAGTCTTCCCCACCCCCAGGCTCCGCCCCCAGTCCACAGGCCAGCATCCGGCGTTCGGCTTTGAAAGGCAGCAATCCAGGTCCAAGCCTCCCTCCTACCGCCATCCAGTCCCATGGGGATGCCCTGGCACACGGCAGCACCAACAGGCTGTTGCACGGGCCACCGGTGTCCCAGATTCAAGCTGTGGGCTGCGGGGATTCTGTGGAGTGCCCCACCCTCTGGCAGCATCGCCAAACCATCTGCGCCGTTGGCGTCCTAGGGCTGGAACTGCGGTAACGGTTCACTCTGCTGCAGAGCTGGTCTGCCGACCTGCAGGCCCTGCTCGCTGATGATGCTGGAGCTGACACTGCAGCCTCCTGTGCCAACTGGTGGGTCCATCTTGCTAGTGGGCCTGGGGCCGCACTGCACCATGCGGTGTCCCTGGCAACACTCAAACCACCAGCGTCTGGTTGCGTGGCGGCCTCCGTTCAGAGCTTGCTTCCCCCCTCCCATGTATGTTGAGCAGGGGCTCGACAGGTGGCTCCCTCTACCAGGGCTCCACCTGGAAGGCAAGGAGAATTATATGAACGTTCGCCCACCATGGTGAATGGTTCGGCTGGAGCCCCACCCGGCTTACTAGGATACTGGTGGTGAAATGTTCACACCAGATGTGGGGCGTGGACATCCACCTCCCTCACCCATGATATCTCCATGATGGGGTACCCCTTCCAATAGACCAGGTATTGTACCAGTCCTCGATGGATCCGAGAGTCCAGGACTTCCTGTATCTCTTAGTGATCCCCTGAGATGGGCCCTGGTACCTCGTTCATGGGCCTACCTGGGGAATCCCCTACCGGCCTCAGCAGACTGCTGTGAAACACCGGGTGTACCTTCCACAAGAGCCGGGGTAGCCGTAACCGCACGGCTACCGGGTTGATGACCTGTCTGATCTGGAAGGGCCCTAGGTACTTAGGCCCTAGTTTTCTACAAGACACCCTCAGGCGTAGATATTTGGTCGAGAGATGTACCAGGTTGCCCACCTGAAAAGGCTTGTGGGACCTTCTTTTCTTATCGGCCTGTGCCTTTGTGACTTCCTCAGACTTCACTAGGGCCTTTTTAACGTTCCCACACACACCCCCAACATGCGCTATCCATTCCCGGGGTTGTCAGGGTGAGTGGTTCCCTTGGGTGTACTCGGGGATGGGGATGAAATCTACACCATGTACCACCTGGAAGGGAGCAAACCCATTGCTGCTGTGCACAGCATTGTTGTATGCTACTTCCGCAAATGGCAGCAGGTCAACCCAGTCCGTTTGCTGGTAGGACACATAGCTCTGCAGGTAGCATTCCACCATAGCGTTCGCTCGTTCTGCTGCCCTGTTGGTGCTGGGGTGGTTCGCCGAGCTGAGACCTTGGGACAACTCGATGAACTGGATGAATTCACACTAGAAGTAGGCCGTGAACTGCACCCCCTGGTCCAAAATAATCCACCGGGGCACTCCGTGTAGGCGATACACGTGCGTGATGAAGAGTCTGGCCAACTGCCGGGCAGACGGCAACCCCTTACACAGGACGAAGTGGGCCTGCTTAGAGAACAGGTATATAACAGTCCAGATGACGGTGTAGCCACAGCTCTCTGGCAACTCGACGATGAAGTCCATAGCAATGTCCTCCCATGGTCGAGTTGGGTTCACCACTGTTTGCAGCAATCCCAAGGGCTTCCCTGTATGGGGCTTTGTGGTGGCACAGACATGACAACCCCGGACGTAGAGGTCCACGTCTGCCTTCATCTGGGGCCACCAGAACTGGCACCTTGCCAGATGCAGGGTCTTCAAAATCTGAAATGGCCCACCTACTTCATATCATGGCACCATTGGAGCATCCCCTCAGGGCCTGTGGGACATAGAGCTTGTCGACTTTCCAGGCCAGCCCCTCCCACCTTGTCAACATGTCTGGATGGTCCGTAGCCAGGGGTCGTCTTGGACCGCCTTCTGTAGCTCTTGGATCAGATCGCTCGGCCCATGACAAGGTACCACCTGGGCTGCGGCTTGCCGGTAGGGGGGCATGATTGCTTGTACAACCTCCTCCCGTTTACTTTTGTACTAGGGCATTCTCAGCAAGGCGTCTGCTATCCCATAACCATGGGATCCTCGGCTGCGTCATCCTCGCTGTCATATGCCACCAGCTAGTATCTGGTGGCCACTGTTGCCTCCTCCTACACCGGAGGTGTCTGCCAGGAGACGACCCCCTCCGGCTGCTGCGCCCTCGCAACTTCTCTGGGGTCTTCTTGGGTGTGGGACCAGGTTTCCCAGGGGTCGATGGAGGCCCACGTGGAGCAGGGACCGGACACTCCACTGCCCGATGCCCTGGCAGGTTGCACCGGAAACAGCGGAACGGCATCTGGGGAGTAGGGCCAGAGGAACCCAGGCCCGAAGCCTGTACCCTCCGTCCTTTGTCCCGTGGTCTCTCTACTACCCTCCACAGCGCAACTGGGTCTTCCCCTTTTTTCCGAAACTCCTGCAGTCCCGTATGCAGGTCTACCACTACCCAGAAGCAATCCTGGAGCTGGTTCAGGACACCCCAGAAAACACATGCCTGGTGCAGATCCTGATCCAGGCCTGCCTGGAACTGATGAACCAGGAGATGTTCTGGCCAGGATCGCAGTCTACCAGCCACCCGCGGGAAGTCACAAACGTACTTGATCACATGCCAGCCTCGTTGCCTCAGCGCCAGTACCTCAGCCTCAGCCCGCTGGACCCGAGAGACGTCCTCAAACTGGGACCATAGAGCCTCCAGGAACAGACCGGCGTCGGCCAGCTCTCTGGCATAGTCGCTGTAGAGGTCCGCCGCCCATACCGCTGCTTCATCCTGCAGCCCCGCCGTGACCGCTACCAACATCGTCCATTGAGACAGATAGAGATGGGCGTACCGGTCTAGATGGCTGATAATGTGACTGAGGAACATCGCGAGATGATCCGGGTTCCTGTCGAACATCATGGGTATTGGCAGCGGGCCCCAAACCATCCCAGAACCCCATGTCCCCAAAGGTTGGCCCGTCCCCCATAGGGCATCAGCCATAGGGGGAAATCCCTGGTAGCTGGACCCTACCCCCTGCTGGTCCGGGGTCCCAGGTGGCCTGGCCATCTGCCTGGGTCTATCGACGACCTGCCCCTGGGTCCATCGATGACCTGCCTGCCCACACATGCCATGACTGTGCTGTTGGTGCACTCACACCAGAGCCACCCACCTGGGGAGTACCAGGGCCAGGAACCGCCCTGAGTCTCAGGCTGGCCAGATGGAAACAGGCTGGATCCAACTGACTCGGCTGTGCCTCCGTCCGGTGCCATGATGCCATCTCTCGAGCTGCCTCCCATCTTGACCACGAGGGAGGATCCTGGTACCCAGCCTCCCCAAACCGGTCCTTCAGGATGTCCATTGTTTGTCATCTGGGCACCGTGGAGTAGCTTCATTCTTCATCGTCTTCCTCCATAAGACGCCTCTCCCTCCACTCCATCAGAGGCCCCATGCCACCCAGAGTATGAGCCTGACCGGCATCAGGGTTGGTAAGTGCAGAGCTGTGCCACCATTCCCCCGAAGGCCCTGGGACCCCAGCATCTTGGACCCCACTCACCGGAACTGCAGGCCTTGCTTCCCGCACCTTAGGCCTCACCACTTGCTGAGCATCCCCTGCCTCCGTGTCAGGTGTTGGCCCTGTTGCTCCAGCTGGTTCCCCTCCTTTAGCCACTGTTGTGGCCTCTTGCTTCCCCTCAGCCATTCCCTAGATAGCACCAGGGAAATGGGAAGGGTAACAAAAAAGATGAGCGCTGACTTACTGTCATGCGTCCTTCCAGTCTGTGAAACAAGACCAGTAGTCAGGAACGGGTTGACATGCGGTTTAATCCATACAGGAATAAAGTCAGCGCTGGGAGTGATCTGCTCCCAGCGCTATACATAGTCTTCCCCACCCCCTGGCTCCGCCCCCAGTCCACAGGCCAGCATCCGCCGTTCGGCCTTGAAAGGCAGCAATCTAGGTCCAAGCCTCCCTCCTACTGCCATCCAGTCCTGCAGGGATGCCCTGGCGCACGGCAGCACTGACAGACTATTCCACACGCTGCCAGCATCCTGGATTTAAGCCGTGGACCGCAGGGATTCTACGGGGCACCCCGCCCTCTGGTGGCGTTGCCAAACCATCTTCTGTACCATTGGTGTCCTCGGGCTAGAACCCTGGCAACGGTTCACTCGGCTGCAGAGCTGGTCTGCCGACTGGCAGGCCCTGCTCGTTGGAGACTCTGGAGCTGATGCTGGATCCTCCCATGCTGACCGGCAGGCCCTGCTTATTGGTGATGCTGGAGCCGATGCTAGAGCCTCCTGTGCCAACCGCTGGGTCTGTCTTGCTAGCGGGGCTGGGGCCACACCACACCGCGCGGCATCCCTGGCAACGCTCAAACCACCAGCATCTGGCTGCGCGGCGGCCTCCGTTTGGAGCTTGCTTCCCTGCCTCCCATGTATGTCGAGCCCGCGGGGGCTCGACAGAGCCAATAGAATTTCAGAGAAAACTTGAGGTTTCCTTGAGGTGGTCAGTTCTGCTGAGGCCGTATTCATAGCTGCATAACAATCCCTATGTGGCCTCTTCCTGTGCACCAATCCTTCCTGTGCACCGTGGTTTACTATGAACCTTGAGAAATGAAATACCAGAACAGTCTCCTAGAACATTGTTAAAGAAGATTTGAAGTAAACTTGTCCAGACAATAGGTTTACTGGTTGATTGATTATATGTCATCAAGTCATTTTCAACTCCTAGAGACCATATAGTCTTCTCTTTCCCAGTATTAGAACCTTTTCCAGAGAGCTATCTCTTTGCATAATGTGGTTGAGATAGGACATTTTGAGCCTGGCTATTTGTGTTTTGAATGAGAAGTCTAAGTTTATTGGTTTGGTGATCCAACGGTCTGTTTTTTCCTGTCCACAATATTCTCAGACATTTTCTCCAACATCAAAGTTATCAATATTCTTCCTAGCCTCCTTCTTCAAAGTCAAACCTTCACTTCTGCACAGTGTCACAGAGAATATGCTTACATGTGTCTGATCTTTATAGGTATAAGCACAGCATGGCATTTGAATATTTTTTCGAAGGCCTTTGTATCTGATCTATCAAGTGTGACTAGAATATAAGTTTCTCAGAAGAACAATGAGATATTCTGGGATTTCTATTTTTCTGAACACTTTTCACAGCTTGATGGGATCAACACTATTAAAGGTCTTGTTAGCTAACCAAATCTTAGCTAAGAATTCATTGAAATGGCAGAAACTGATAAACTAGTCTTCTTCATTTCAGTTTCCATCTATGTTTTCCTCTTTCATATTTCCAACTTTGGCATTCCTTCTTTCCAATCAGCAGCACAACTTGCTTTTATATCCTGTCAGTTTCCAATTGAACTTGATCATAAAACCTATAAACCTCTTTTTCTGTGTCAGTAGTTAGAGCATCAATTTGAATGATTATCATATTGAAGAGTTGTCCGCAAAATCTAATTGATATTTAGGGATTAGTTGTATGATATATTCTTGCTATAAACTTTGTAATAAGAAAAGCAAGATCCTCTCTTCTTTTCATTTCCTGTGTAATAAACAGTGTGATTTTTCTGACTGAAAATTTCTGTTCCAGTCCATCTTGATTCACTGATGCCTAAAATGTCAATTACTAATAATTTCATCTTTTATTGTATTGAGCCTTCCCAAGTTCATGCTTATTACATTCCATGTTCCTATATAGTTCTGACTCTGTAGCTTTAGATTTTTTTCCTGCGTGGCAACATCAACAACTAGATTCCTGAATCTAGCCATGTCATAAACACCATTAGTACCCTGAAATATTCTCAGCTCTTCCTCAATAACATGAGGGGCCCATCATCTGGCCTATATGGTCAATCATTTTATATTTTTTATTGATATAGTTTTCTTGATAAAAATGCAGGAGTAATTTACCATTGTATTATCCTACACGGTATGAATTGTCCTTCTCACATATGCCTCTAGCATCTTCCTATCTTAGGTGCCTTTTGCTTTTTCTGGGCATCTGGGATGACCTTCAGACCTTGAGTGACCTTGCTGAAAATATGTGGTTTGGCATACACTCCCAATATTCTTTGCTAATCCCTCCAAGGAATACTCTCTGCCACAATGAGGATAGTAGGACTTTGGAGGGAGGGGCTGGATGTGAGTAAAAGCCCATATTAGGCAATACCTTGTGATCATAAGGACATTGAAACATCAATATATCGCCATCCTTGCTATGTCTACTAACAGCTTTTTAGCAGTCTTATTCAGGGTGACAGGGTTGCTATAGGAAGGGAGGGCTATTATGAAGGGAAATCAGGCTACCTAGTGGATAAAATGCCTCAGATCTGCTCTATCTTGTTCTCTTAGTGGGCAGGATCAGCTGATAAACCAGGTGCTTGGCCTAATAGCATGACCTGGTATATGTTTTGCTGGCGAAGTCTTCTTTGCCATTAGTTTGGCATCTGGGCCCATTCTGTGCTCTCATGGTTGGGTCTTTAGTGTGATGTAGGCATCCTGATGGAGGAGGTGGTGACTTCTGCTTTGAAAGAGGCAGTAGTGCACCATTGGACCCAATAGTCTCAATTACTATATGTTCCCTTTCTGGAGAAGGTTGTTGAGATGATTGGTAATCTGCAAGTGATGTGAAGCATAGAGGAAACCAATTAGCTAGACCATGGGTGTCAAACTCGCCGTGTCACGTGATGTGTCACGACACATTGTGACTTTTTTCGCATTGCCACATCTGGGGTGGGCGTGGCCTCTGCATGATGCAACCGGCCCATGGGCCGGCAGTTTGACACCCCTGATCAAGACTCATTCCAGTCGGGTTCCAGGCTGGAATTTAGTTCTAAGACAGGTTTTGTCTGCCCTTTGATATAGTGCAGACAAGAAACCAAAACTATGAACACTAACACTACCTTTATTATTAGTGTATTATTATACACTAATTGAATGTTGCAAGTCAGAAAGCACTTTTCACTTTCTTTAGTTTTACTTTCCAGAGAATTAGGCAGATTCATTCTGAGGTGCTTCCCATTCTCCCATTCCTTTTGTGGGCGGTCATATATATTTTTTGTCTGAATATTGTTTAGGCTGTGGCTCCTCTTCCTGTTTCCCACAATTATTCTCACAAATCATTACAAATTTGGTGAGATTTGTAGATGACCTATGGTGGAGTCAGGGTGGAGCTGATGCATTCATTCTTGTGCTTCTTGATCTTTTAATGGCATTTGATATTGTCAACCAGTTTCCTTCTGATCCAGTTACATGATGTGGGAATTGGGGCACCATTTTACTGCAGTTCTCTATCTTTCTCCAGGAGTGGTTCTTGTGTTGGTTGAGAGGAGAACAGATCATTCCCTGGTCCCCTACTTTGTGGAGTGCCCCATGTCTGCCTCATGATTCTATTCTCTGGCCTCTGTTTTTCAGTATCTACATGAAACCATTCAATGAAGTCATTCTCATTCTCTATTGATGAGGTTCAATATCATCAGTATGTTAATGATACATAAATATATATTTCAATCCCAGGCTGGCCAAGTGAGCCTATCAAGATCCTGTCCCAGTGTCTGGAGGCTGTTTGGGTTTGGAATAATTTGCACTCAGTCTAACCAAGACCAAGAAGCTGTGAGCATTTTGGCTACTGAAAACTAGGGATGATCCATTTCTGACCTTGAACGGGGCTGTTCTTCCCCACTGAAACATGTTGTGTAATCCTTGGATCTTCCTTGGCTCACAGCTCCTATTTAATGAGCAGATGGCAACTGAGAAGCCCTCTGCACAGCTTCTTCTGGTGTGCCTAGATTATTAGGCCCTTTAGGCAGTCAAGCACTTCATGACTTGATTACTGCAATGTATCTACATGAGGCTACTATTAAAGATCACTCGGAGGGTTCAACTTGTCCAGCATGTAGTAGCATGGGTAATGATAAGCATGCCTTCACATGCCTATGTAACACTCTACTTCAAAGGTTGTACTGGTTTCCAGTTTGCTTCTGAATATGATTCAAGATGCTGGTTATTACCAATAAAGGCCTACATGTTTTAGAACTTGGTTTCCTGAGGGACCACCTCTCTTCCATAGTGCCTGCCCAGCTGGTATGATCCTGTAGGGTTGGCGCATTGTGGGTTCCTTTAATTAAACAATGCCATCTCTCAGTGCCCTGAAATATGCTTCTACCTGCCATCTGAATGGCCCTCACTCTTTTGGCATTTTAAAGGCCCTTAAAGGCCTGTTTCTCTGCCTAGGCAGAAAAACTGTATTTGCTTTATTTGATAAGGACGTTCCCTTTGGTTTGTATAGTTCCATCCGTTTTCATGCTGGTTCTTTTGATTATTTTTCCCTATCTTTGTCACTTTAATTTTTTTAATTGCTGTATTTTCTTTTGTGTTTCATTATTTTTACTTGTGAATTGCACAGAGTTATTGGGAGTTTGGTAGTTAAATTTAATAAACAAACCAGGATTAAGCAATGCATGTTGTAGCATGATGTTTGAATGTCACAGTTGTGACACAAATTTAATGGAGAACCCAGAATGAAGCTCTAATGTGAAAGCAAACTCACTGTAACATAAATCTGTTTCTTTTAATCATAATGAATTTATTCTGCACTATTTTTGAACCATACATTTTGGACCAGCTACCATAATTCTTGGTCACCAAGGCTTTTAACTATAGTAAATTAACATTCAAGTTGAAAAATATCAGGTTGGGAAAACTTGATCCAAAGGATATCTCTAACACTAATAGCCATGAAAATTAAAATAGCACTTTGAAATCATTTATGTTAGATTAGGAAGAGGTCTATTTATTTAGCTCTTACATTGGTGATAACTTTTTAAAGTTAAGTGATAAATATTAAGATGTATTCAGAGCTATTAACTGAGTCAGATGTCCAAAACTGAGACCTCAAATTCTACTGATTCACACCTTTGATGTTTTTTTATCCTAAGCTTATTAAGAAGTATGGTCCAGTTTTTACTATCTGGCTAGGACCAAAGCCATTGGTTGTAGTTTGTGGATATGATGCAGTGAAAGATGCCCTGGTAATTCATAGTGAAGAATTTGGAGGACGATCTCCTATACCTATCTTTGATCAAATAACCGGGGGCTATGGTGAGTGCAGATTATTTTCACTTCAATTTGAGATTTAGTTTTCAATTCTAGAGGAAAGATAAAAACATTAACTTTTCTAGGAAAGTGACTTTTCTAGAATAAATTCAGTAATGAAAAATAAAATACTAAACCTCTTGGAGGTACTTGAAAAGTTGTTCAATCAAAACTCTGGTTAGAGGACAAAGTATCAAACTATGAAAGAGCAGTACAACTGAAGTCACTTATCCCACATTCAGCTGTTTGGCATGAGGATCCAAATAATATGGTAGCCAGTTGGGTGGTCTGAGGGAAATTATACCCTATGTTTAATATTCCCTCACAAACAACAGATTTCAGAGCTGCAATGTCCTCAATTCTGTTTTAGCCAAATTTAAAAGTGAACTAGTTAAAATAGGACCAAGTTCAAAATTTAAATAGTGAATTTTTTTCAGTCAAACCAGCAGTAGCTTCTAACAATATATTTTAAAATGACTTAGAATATCTAATATTAGTCACATTTGTCTTTAGAAGAAATTTCATAGGCATGATTTGATGAGAGATTCAGGGGCAATCTAATCTGATTCAAAATGCTTCAAAATTACATTAGGGAAGAGTGTTCATCAATTATGAGGAAATTGCAAAATACCTGAACTTGAAAGATATTCAAAAATAATAGGAATGATGGATAGAGGACATTAACTCTAAACAGGAATATTGAGAAAAAGGAAAGCTGTCCTTTTCAGATGTTTATTATAGATATCAAAATATTTTGTAACATTGTTCAAGTTATAATCTGAATAAGGAGAGTGCAAACATGAGAAAATTGAATTTCTTTTCCATTTGCCAAACTATCAATGACTCCTAGAAAAAGAAATGCATGTTTACTTTTACATTTGAGAAGGGTAGATATTTTGTGGGTGAGGGAGTATTGGGCAGGTTGCTTTTTTGTTGTTCTTTTTAAAAATGCTGCAATATCTGTTCTTTATTACTGCAATTTCTATCCTTTCAGGGCTTATTGGTGAAGACGAAAGATGGAAGGTTCTACGTCGCTTTACTCTCAGTACACTAAAGAACTTTGGAATGGGAAAGAAGTCGATGGCTGAACGGATGTCAGAAGAGGGTCTCTATTTGGTGGAGAAGATATCAAGCTTTGAAGGTGATCCTACGTTGCAAAATATTTTTATTTATTGATAGAATTATATCCCACCTTTGTGTGTACAACACAAGATAGCAAACATAATGCTCTTGGCTCCATTTGCTTCACAACAACAAAACTTGTATTTATATTGTATTTATTTATTCATCTTTAAGTTCAGAAACAAATACTTGTTTTTTCTTGAATTAATATTCTGCCTTTCTGGTTATATTTCTGAAAGTAGCTGATTACAATTAAAAAGTGGATTGAAACCTACCTGGCTGGCACATGGTGTGTCTTGAATCCTGACTTCTGAAGTCTGTTCACTAGATTGAGAAGTTCCTGAAAATGGCCCACCTGAACTTCCATTGTCTTCAGAGAGGCACAGATTATAACCATGATCTAATTTACTAGAATCAAGCTGTACACTGGAAATTTCCAGGCAGGTGTCACTGGAACCATAAAGATTCCACGTGTGTAAAGTCTAAACAGAATGTAGTGTAAAGAAAATTCACAAAGTCACTAGAGAAAAAGATTTTGGGGATGCAAAACATGGTCACACAATCTCTTCTTTCTTTTTGCTGTTGCAGAAAAGCCTTTCGATGTAGTCCCAACCATCTCAGCTGCTGTTTCTAATGTGATGTGTGCTGTTGTCTTTGGGAAACGATTTTCTTATGATGATAAAATCTTGAATGAAATACTGGAAATTTTGAAGAAGTTCATAAGTTTCTTTTTGAGTCCTCCTGGAATGGTATGCCAACTTTATGTTGTTCTATAAGCAGGGTTTTCTCTTTGTTTAAGACTAAGAGGGTTCAGTTAGTTCCCTTCAACTTACAAATCTTGGAAACTTTTTAAAGTGACCTTCTAAAAGGTGTGTTTGTGAGAATCACCCTCCATCTCTTGTTCAAGTGACTGTTCCTGTTGCTCCTAATTAGTTCATATGTTGCAACTTAGCAGTGATTCTTTCTACAGTTATTGAAGATGCATAAAGCTTTAGCCCTTCTTCTTCTCAGCTAATTACTCTAAGCCAGGGGTGTCAAACTGCCAGCTCGTGGGCCGAATGCATCACGCCAAAACCGCATCCACCCCACTGCCGGCAATGGGGAAAAAGTTGTGATACGTCGCGACACGTCATGTGACGTTGCGAGTTTGACACCCCTGCTCTAAGCTCTAACTATTGCCATTTCACAGAGGCCTTCATAAATAATTGCTTTTTAAGTCTTCCTTAACTCATCAGCTTTCATTCCATTATTTCTCAAATAGTAATTGAGAAGTTATAACTAAAGAAAAAAAAATATAACTAAATAAACTTGGTTCCATGGGCTTATATTTTATATTCATTTGATTAGCAGGCATTGCACAGTTCATGAAAATGTCTATATTGGTCTTGCATTTTATTTATTTTAAAAAAAAATTAAACTAAGAGGACTCTTTGCAGGGAAGCCAGTTTTTCTGTGCAGCTGCACAGTAGGCAAAGCAAAAGAGATGAGCTGAGAAAGGCTAACTTTTACAATCACAATGTTACAGATGTACAGCACTATGCCAAATGTCATGAAATTCCTTCCTGGACCTCACAAGAGAACCGTCTTCGATTGTAACAAGATTTGTGACTACATTAGGACTAGAGTGGACTCTCACAAGAAGACCCTGGATCCAGACAATCCCAGAGACTTTATTGATTGCTTCCTTCTTAAATTAGAAAAGGTATATTGCGAAGGATATTTTGCATACAAGTACAAAAGGGACAGAGTTTCAGTTATGCACTTGTGCTCCATTTTCTAATGATGAGAGAAGGCATATAGCCCATGTCTATATCATGTCATGAGTTAGCAAAGCCAGCTTGGTAGTAGGTAAAGTTGTGGAGCAGAGGAATGTTATCTTTTTGGGGGCTGTGAGTCCTGTAGAGAATGGGCTTTTGAGGTGCTTCCTAAAATGATTGGGGCCAGGACAAGAACTAAATATGAATTAATTGCCTTAGAACAAATTAAATAATTACTTAGTCATTCATTCATTCATTCCCCTAGAACTATAATTCAGTGGCAAACTTTTGAAAACATTTCAGGGGCTGAATAATGACAGAATGGCTAGTTTGGGATACTGATTTTTTTAATTTTCTGTCAAATTTAGGGTAGAACTGGGAGCCGCTGAGAGCACTGCAGTCTCCTATTTCAATCCTGTAATCCACCAAACCACTTCAAAATGAAATAACAGCCACAAAATCAATAGTATGATTCTCGAACTTTTGCACTGAGTTCTTTTTTAAAATGTGGAAATAGGAAAAGTGTTTCTATCAGAGGACTCCTGCTCATTTTTTTTTACTCTTTATACAAGAGGAGAGGGTTGAAAAATGTCCCTGTCCTTGTTGGACAATCCCTGGAAAGCCTCCTGTGTTCCTTCTGCTGGCAAAGGAGGTTGTAATCCCAACACAGGGCAATTACTAATCTGTTACTTAACTTTAGGCTTCTTGGTACCATCTGAAAGAGCACAACAGGGTACCAGACTGCTAGATTGTGGCTAGCAAAACATTCATTGCAAGTTTAATCTGGATGCTTTGAGTCACGAGATAGCAAATGCCCTTTGAACATTAAAGGAAGTGAAGCCTTCTGGCTATTGCTTGGCCAGAATAAAAAGGATTATGGAAGGTGATGTTAGAGAATAGAAAAGAGTTTGTGACATGGAGATGGAGAGGAGATTCCATGAAAAGGAGATACATGGAAACTTCTGCATTACAATAGCTGCATAACTGGAAGGATTCTGGGGAAGAGTTGATGATAGTTGATGAAAAGTTGATGAGAGAAAAAGAAGTTACTCATTTCACTTGCATCTCAGCTGTTTCTATTTCTTTTAAACATTGATCTATCTGACCCAAACATCTATTAAGTTGCATTGGATATTCAAATTAGTGTAGAAAACATGGAGGATTCTATCTTGAATTATTCCCTGCCTCCCCTCTAAGTTGGTCTAGAAGAAAAGTAAAGTGAAAAGAAGTAGAGTAGATGGACAATTTGATGACATGATGAGCTACACATTATAAACTTCTGCTTTTATTTTATTTCTACCTTACCTTACAGGAACAAAATTCTAAGATTATCTGTATGGAAGACTTGGTCATGACTGTGTTCCAGCTGTTAATTGCTGGGACAGATAGCACAGCCAATACTATTGCATATGGTATTATCCTTCTGGCCAGATTCCCAGAGGTCCAAGGTATGTGGAATGATTTTTTTATATATATTTTCCCTTTTAAATATGGATTGGCAGATATTCTGCAAAGAAAAACTATGAGTTGGAATGTTCTTGCATTTTTTCCCATGTTTCCAAATATTTATTAGATTTTTATGCTGTCCTCATTATTTTAAAAGTAACTCAAGGTGGAAAACATACCAAATACTCCTTCCTTCTCCTATTTTCCCTTAACAACAACCCTGTGAGGTCGGTTGAGTTTAGAAAGAGAGACTTAGGTGGCTTTCATGCCCAAAGTGGGAATGGCTTCTGGCCTGGTGCCTTAACTGCTAGATCACACTTTCCATGTTAGTCTACTAATGAGACTTCAAATAGTAGCAACCTAATATCAATGTTATATAACTCTAAATATGTTTCCTTGGTGACTTGCATGTACCTGTGTTAATGAACATATCGTAAAAATCAGCCCCTTCATGGCTTCCACATCAAATATTGTAAATAATATTGTGAATAAAATCAGGACCAGAAATATGCATCAATATTCCCCCCCCCAATTAGTTTGTACTGAAATTCAATAATTTTAACAATGTTTTAAAATGCATATTTCAAATACTGATATTCTCATTTAACAACCACTCATTCAAAAGCCATTAAAGTTATGACCGAGATAAACAAATGGTACTTACAACCAGTCCTCAAAGCAAACCATCCAAGCAACCTCTTGGTCACATGACCATGATCTGGACACTTGGCAACTGGCTCACTCTTATTATGGTTGTAGGGTCCCACGGTCACTTGATTTACAACCTTCTCTGCCAACTTCCCAGAAGCAATATCAGAGGGCAAACTGGCAGGGAAGGTTGCAAATCACTGTGATAAGTCACCTGTGCTCTGCCCCAGCTTGTAGCAGCCATTCTGGGCCCTGCTATGCTTGTGCCATGCCAGCCACCAACACAATTCCCCTGCCCAGCCCTGCCATGCCTTGCTGGCCAGTTGCACATCCTCCCCCACTCCACAGTAGCCAAGCATTCCTGCCACACTTTTGCTGCACCCCCCTGGTCTCTAGGGATTCATCCATTCAGCATCCTTATTGTAGTATAAGATACCCACTTATCATTTAATAAGAATGTACCTTCACAATGGAACCTCTGTCCTGTTGCTAAGGAAGGCTTAAGCTGGTTCAAGAAGTTCCAACAGGAAAATGATGAAAACCAAATGTCTTCCCTTTGAGACAATTCATGGTGCTCTGAGGAAGCTTAAGGTGACACAACTGAAAGGTCTACTCTATTCAGCTAGCATTGTCTTGGCATTTCACTTGTGGAACCACCTTCATTTGCCCTGTTCTGGGGCCAGCATCTGTTTTACAGTGTTATTTTGGCTGGGGTGTCATATGGCTTCCCCCCCTTTTAGACATTTCTATTGACCCATCAGCTGATTACAAAGTCTTGGAATTGATTAGCCTATTCCTTTTTGATTAGCCTATTTGCTTTTTGTGTGTAAAAAAAAAAAAGGTGCCGGAACTCACACATGTCATACAACCCGCCTTGCCTACCTTACAAGGTACCATCCAAAAAAGGTGCCGGAACTCCGTTCTGGGCGTTCTATGACAAAAAAAGCCCTGCCTATTCCTATCTTAATAAATATAATTGGAAAATCTCTTGTTCTTTAATGTATAGGGTGAGGAAATTCATTAGTAATCCTGGAATGCTAGAAGCCCTAATTCTTTAGTTCTTCTCATGGAATGCTACTTTTTTTTTTAAAAAAAAAAATGCATTCTATCCTGGAATGTAAGCTGATGTAAATATAACTGTAAGCTGCAAATTCCAACAACTCAGCCAATGGTTTCATCCAACTGTATAAATATGGTAGTCCACTACCTGACAGCCAAAAGAGGGAAAAACTCTAATTCTCACTATCTACTAGGGGTTGAGAGGTCAATAATCATTTTGGAGAAATGTGGAAGCCCTGAAATTGACTAGCCTATCCACTTAATTGAAAATGTGACTGAAAGGTGATGGTCTTGCATTTGTCTAGCCTAGGCAGAAAAGAATTCCTTTTCCAATGATCATCACTGCTCTTGGGAAAATTGTGATTCCTCAGTTTCTCTGCTTATGTAACTTAGTTTGAAAAGTGTGGTGTATCATTGAAAGTGCCCTGGTACAGATCAAACTTCAAAATATACCCATGTTTTTCTTCTCCTACCCTTTTCTATGATCAGAGCAGTATATATGCTGTCATTTGGAGAAATCCATGTGGAACTAATAGAAAACAAGTTTCTTCCATTCACCAAAGTACCATTCTTGAACTCTGACTCCAAGAACATTTATGCAGCAGATGCATCTGGATTACATAAATCTGGATGACCACTATCTTACAGTTAAAGAGATGAAGAATTTGCTGCCTGTGCTCCTTTGGCATATAGCCATCCTGACCACATGATCACAGAAAATGTCTTTGGACAATGTTGGTTTCCTCAGTCAAGAAACAGAGATGAGCTCCGCATCCTAGAGTCGGACATGACTGGACAGGGAAACCTTCACCTTTACCTAGTGTTGGATAAGCTAAATGTCCTCTAGGGGAGGTGGGGAAGAGGGTTGGGTGGGAAAATGAACTTTCAAAGCACCCACCAACTTAGCCCACATTCTGCATGGAAATTGGTGGTGGATTTCCCCAAGTTCTACATTCAGCCAGAGAAAATTGCTAGCCATTATTCTTAAGTATCAAGTTGAGAAGTAAATGGACAGTGGCACAGGATAACCTGTTTAACTATTCTTTAAGAGCAAATTGTGCATCTTTGATAATCTGCTATATAAAGATGAACACGGTTTAGGTCTAGAATAATTTAAAAAATAATGTTGTTTGCTTTAACAAAGTACGATTTATTGCAGCAAAAATCCAGGAGGAAATCGATGAGGTTGTGGGACAAAACCGTCAGCCCTCCATGGAGGATAAGATAAAGCTGCCCTACACCAATGCATTTGCTCATGAGATACTACGTTTTCAGCCTGGGAGTAGTGAGAACTTCCCACGTACAACAACCCAAAATATGATTTTCAAGGGACACTTCATCCCTCAGGTGTGAAAAAAATCTCAAAGTCTGGGATCCTCTTTGTACATAGATATGTACCTATAATTGCAGCATATATGCTATAATTGCTGCATATATTTTCTGAATACCATTTGAATTTTAGGCCACTGGATTTTACAGGATGCTCTATTTGCAAAGGCAAATATTATTCATAGTTCTAGACATTTTCCATTCTGCAGAGTTTCATTGATTTCCCTTAAGGTTCTTAGCTACAAAAATTAATTATTTTCTGCTTGTACAAGAAACTAAAGAATTTTAGAAAGGTGATTAATATTTTTTATTGTTAAACCTTTGTTCATAATATAATTATGGAAATCTTCTCCCAGAATGGAAAAAGGAAGCAAAACTATCAGTAAAAATAATGGATTAATGAATTTAGCTTGCCTCTATTGGATTCTAAAATTCTGCCTTCCTGATAGAAGAAAAGTAATGTTTTGTAGGAGTACTGAATCTGATTTTCATTTTGATATCTGCAGGTATTTCAGCATAAATGCCTATTTTTAATAATTTGTTTCCCAAATAAATGAGAATTTTAGGCAGGTTTTGCAGTTTTTAAAACAGGTAATTAATTTTGAGAGAGAAAAATATACAAAGAATGGAAATGACTATGGAAAAATCTATTCCTAGTCGCTTTCCCTCCCTCTACAGTTTTGCAGAAACCACATGTAAAATATCATCTACAAAATATAGTTAAAATTTTATACACAATGAAAATATGTTTTGTATATAGTATGATGTTGTAAAATAATATAATGGAAGATTTATGTCAGATTACAGAAGCTATAGATATTATAAGCAGAACATAATATGAATATAAATAATATTAGAGAGCTAATGTGTAGTGGTTAAAACACCAAACTAGAATCTGAGAGGCCATGGGTTCTAGTGCCACCTCGGGCAAGAAGCCAGCTGGGTGACTTTGGGCCAGTCATTTTTTCTCAGCTCTAAGAAGGAGGCAATGGTGAGCCACTTCTGAAAATCCTTGCCAAGAAAGCTGCAGGGACTTGTCTTCAAAGTCTCAGAGAATTAGACGCGATTGAATGGAAGAAAAAAATAATAAAGCAATGCTTTAGAATCTCCTCTGTTAAAAGAAGAGCCTTTCTGAAGCACTGGCTCCTATGTTTTTGGTTTCTAATTAAAACTCTTTTGGGTATCCATATATTTTTTTTTAAAGTTTCAAACTTCTCAATGTTATCATTTTTACCGTCATTGTATAAAATGCCATATAATTAAATATAGTTGCATTCTATCTCTACCGGGATATAGCAACAGTGCACTTCAACACGTGCAAATTGGCTCTCTCAACCTCAATTGTCAGTCAGAAGATATGACAAAAGTTCTTAAATTTCACAATATACAGGCAACTTCAACCACGATTTCAACTGAGAAACTTTAGATGTGTTAGAGATCAAAACAGGATTCAGAAGGCAACAGAATTCCTAGAAGTTTGGAACTTGAAAAATGAACGATCATCAGATAATACAGTAATAAATCTAATTGATAAATCATTCAAAAGGAACAATAAAGGGGAAAGCATGAGGCAACAGCCCTGAATACATCTTCCCCGTTACATATGCTTTAACCACTCAAATAAGCAGGAACAGTCCAAGGAAAAACAATATCCCCAAATCCACAGAATGCTGTAAACAAGAAACCAATTAATTTCCCCACTTCAGAGTGCTAATGACATTATTAATCTGATAATGAAATGTCTGCAAGAAAAACCAAGCTGAAAGGAAGGTCTGCCAGAGAATGGTGAAGGCCGAGTATAACATTATCAGTGAGCAATTGTAATAGGCTAAATAGGCACCCATTGTGTCTGTCCTAGCCTTTTGTAATGACTTGGGATGGTTTAATCCCTCACCTCATTCTCGATAAAGAGCACCATAGAGAAATGTGTCAAAGTCGCTAAATAAAAATGGTGCTGATATGCCAAGGCAGCACAGTATTAACACAAGTAGGGGCCATTTCTAAAATAATTCAGAATAAGGTCTTTTTTCTGATGAAGAAAACAAATGAAATCTTAAATAGATAACTTTAAATTTCTCAAGAATTTTTAATAACACCACTTCAATTTATGACTAGATTTGTTTTTGTAACTTAGATAACAACAGTGAAGCTTCAGAATTTAGCAATTACCTTGAATTCCACTTGTAATCTGAATGTTATAAAATTTAATAATACAAATTTGGATAATTATATATTATGTTTGTGAAACATAGAAGACAATTCAATCTTGTTATGTTCTTAATACAACTAATATAATTTTCTGTAAGGTCTTTAAACGTGCGAATATGCATTGGTCAATACCAGGCATGGAAAAACCTTGTAAGTTGCATCAATGATTTTTTTTTAAAATCTTCCAAGAGTTCACATTTATGAAAGAATTAAGAACAGTCTGTTTCTTTGTGGGAAAAAGCCCCACCTTTGCTCTTTGTATCTTTTTGTCTCTTAAAAGGGTACAACTGTTCTTCCATTGTGGGCTTCAGTGCATTTTGATCCTCTCTGCTGGGAAAATCCTAACACGTTTGACCCAAGTCATTTCTTGGATAAGAATGGTGAATTCCAAAAGAAGGATGCCTACTTGCCTTTCTCTGCAGGTAACAGAGGGGCTATGGCTGATTTAGTGATCTGGGGTCTTCAAGGTTGGCCAGTTACCTGTAAGGTTGCTGAATTTATATTTCACCCATGCTGATGAGTGATGGTCTTCCTGCCTGCCCTTCCCACTATCTGTATTAATTTCAGATGAGGCTGCCCAGAACATATATAGGTAAATGGTGAAATCACTGAGAGAATCTGATTGAATCATGAAGGAGAATGTTTAGTCTTTTAGAACCAGAAGATATACAGTGGCTGCTAATCAACTCCTCCACTGAAGGAGGGCTTTTTTTTTTTTTTGAAAAGCCACAAGTAGTCATCGAGCAGGGATCTTCAAACTTGGCCCTTTTATGACTTGTGGACTTCAACTCCCAGAATTCCTCAGCCAGGAATGTTCCAAGAACATTCAAGTACCTGTTATAATCTTTCTCCGAAATAGCAGATATCTCTTTATTTCATGATTACAAACTATGTTTTGAAACTGGAATAAAATCTGTTACTGCTACAGTTTCCTCTCCATTTACTTGCATTGAGTTGGCATTGTCTGTAGATATAATCTAGTTTTTTTCTTAAAAAAAATATTAAGCAGGAGAGTAGGTTTTGCGCTCTCTAGGTTAATCTTTAATAAGAGTCTTCTTAAGTCTTTCTCATTTGCGGTCATCAAAGTGGTTTCAATGGCTCTCCCTCAAAACCATTACATGAAGTAGCATGGCCTTCTCACTTCTCAAAATAAAATGTTGCTTGGCATTATTTTGCTTTATAAGGCCTCCTTTTTATAGCTTCTCTAGCAGCTATGTTTTGGGCCCAATGCTCTTCAACATCTTCATCAATGATTTGGATGACGGGATAGTTGGGGAATTCATCAAATTTGCAGATGACACCAAGCTGGCAGGAATAGCCAACACTCCAGAAGACAGGCTTAAGATACAGAAGGATCTGGACAGACTAGAACACTGGGCACTATCTAATAAAAAGAAGTTCAACGGTGAAAAAAGTAAGGTTCTACCTTTAGACAAGAAAAACCAAATGCACAGGTATAGTAGGAGGTACCTTGCTCAATAGTAGTAACTGTGAGAGGGATCTCGGAGTCCTATGGACAGTCACTTAAATATGATCCAGCAGTGTGCTGCAGCTGCCAAAAAAGCCAACACAGTGCTAGGCTGCATTAATAGAGGGATAGAATCAAGATCATGTGAAGTGTTAATACCACTTTACAATGCCTTGGTAAGGCCACACTTGGAATACTGCATCCAGTTTTGGTCACCACAATGTAAAAAAGATATTGAGACTCTAGAAAGAGTACAGAGAATAGCAGCAAAGATGATTAGGGAACTGGAGGCTAAAACATACAAGGAATAGTTGCTGGAATTGGGTATGTCTAGTTTAATGAAGAGAAGGATGAGGGGGGACATGATAGCAGTGTTCCAATATCTCAGGGGTTGCCACAAAGAAGAGGGAGTCAAGCTATTCTCCAAAGCATCTGAAGGCAGGACAAGAAGCAACGGATGGAAACTAACCAAAGAGAGAAGCAACCTAGAACTAAGGAGAAACTTCCTGACAGTTAGAACAATTGATCTGTGGAACAGCCTGCCTCCAGAAGCTGTGAATGCTCCAACACTGGAAGTCTTTAAGAAAAGTTGTTCTTGAAGAACACATTCTCATTTTCCAGTGACACTGCTCTCCAAAATCTTGGCAAGTGCTGTGGGAGGATGTGCCATTCACCTATTTACAAAAGTTAAAAGTTTCTGCTTTAAATGCAACTTTGCAGAGCAAATGACAGGCAGAAAAATGGGAAACTTCATCAAACCAGATCATGTGGCCTTTTTGCTTCAAGAAAAAGAATCATGTCATCTCCATGACACAGTTTTCTTTGCCAGTGTGAATGTAAGTCAGATAGGTCTACAGGGCAGTTATCTGGGTAATATTGTTAGGTCTTGCCTGTTAAACAAGTTTGTCTATGTTTCTTTTTAATTATTATCATGGTTGATTGCACACAATCAGCCAGATATTTAGAGTGAACTTGACATTCTTGTCCATTTATCGATTTTTCCCCAAGGACCTTGGACAGGCAGATGTTCTTGTCTGATGGTGTTAAAGGCATCATTGCAGGATGTAAGCTGTTCCAAGTAAAGCTGCCTTTTACAATTGTCTGATTGTGATTTTGTCAGTGCCGATGGTGTTCAAGTGGTGCTCTAGTTATTTTGGGATTGCACCCAAAATACCTATTAGCATTGTTACAGTCTTTGCTTTCTTTTGCTACAAGACTTTTTAATTCTGTGTGCAGTTTTTATATTTATAATTTTATCCAGGTCTTTCTCTTCTCTTCTGCTGTCTCCAGGCACTGTTACATCCATTATCAAGACTTTTTTTGTCTTTATCAATAACTGTTACCCCTTGGGTGTTATGTTGCAGGTGCTTACCTGTCTGAATTCAAAATCCCAAAGCAATTTACCGTAGTGCTTTCGTTTTCTATGACTTTGTCTGTTTTATACCATTCTCATACCAGTTCTTGCTTGCAGATAAATGATATTTTTTGCTGACCTTCCAATGCACCATTGCTGCTACTTTGTCATGCCACTGTTTGTAGTCAGTCTATGTGATCTTCTTGCAGCAGATAACTAGGTGGTCCACTGTTTCTTCAGCTTCTTTACTGAGGCGGCATTTACTGTCTGTTGTGTTCTTGTGCAGTCAGAATTAGTCTCTTTCTTCAATTTTTCTGCTGTTAGTCATTGCCAGGTCTTGTTGTTACTTGCTTTGCCAGCTATTCTCTCTCTTTTTAATGTACTGGCCATGTCATACTTTGCCTTGTCATGTCACTTTTATATTCTTCATTTGGTCTTTCTTGTAGATCTGCTAATCTAAGATGAAGCCTTACTTTCTGAGTAGCATAAGGACAGTGGATAATTAACTTGTTTCTTTGTTTGCATCCCCCCTTTATTATTTTTAGAAATAACTCAAGATAGCAAACATATCCAACACTCCTATCTCCTATTTATCTTCTTTTTTTTCTTTTTACAGGGAAGAGAGCATGTCCAGGAGAGTCATTGGCTAATATGGAAATCTTCATATCGTTTACTAATCTACTTCAGAAGTTCACTTTTGAATTGACTGTGGACCCTAAAGAGGGAGACTTAGATAACTTGTTTATGGACTGTAGGGATGATGGGAAGCATCGGTACATTCGGGCCATCAAACGTAAAATATAAATTAGAAATTGTCTCAGAATATATTTTTTCCTCCATCCCAGCCCTAAATGTCTAATGCTGTATTCAAAGTTTCAGAAATTAATGAGTGTTGAAAAGTAAAAGCATTCAAAATATATTTCAGTAAATGACTGTTCTACTACAAATATCACCATCATCACCATTACTATTACTTCTGCTGATGTTTGAATTTTGATTTCATCCAGAGAATCTGATTCACAAAAGCACAAACTTTTTCAGGCTAAAGACTGCTTTTAACCTTTCAGTGGTATGACAGGACCTTAACCCCAATTTTAGACTGAGTGGAACCATGCCAAAAATTAAGATGTATTGAATTTGAATGTAATTAAAATAAATTAAAAATAATTAACATTTAAGAATTATTTTAAAAAATGTCATTAAAAATGCAGTTTGGCAGTCTTTTATGAAATCGTTTCAGTGACTCTGGCAACCAAAATCTAATCAATGCTTCCTTGTCTCTGTCGAAATGCACAGACATCATAGTACAGAATCATAGTGTGGGAGATGAAAATATAGCCCCATCCTCATATAACAAGATGAGACTAGAGCAAACCTGAAGTAGGCCCCCACAGAAGTGATTTGAAGCTCTAACTTGAACTTTATGCTGTTTCATAATACGAACGTACTATTTGTAATCTGCTGAGCTTTGTGCAATAAGAAATTGCAAAGTAGATAGTGCTATGTATATTTGGAACATGAGTATTGTAACCGTGGGAGAAATAGGGAACTGAAAGTAGCTGATGGATGTGGGTTCCAATGTACATGGGTATATGTGGAAAGTAGATCAACAGGAAGCCAGTAAAAAGTCAGCAAAGGTCAGCAGAAGTCAGCAAAAGTCAGCGGACCATCTGACTACAGTCTTAGAACGAGAAAGGGTATAAAAGGTTGGGGCTGGACCTGATTGATTTGCCATTGGCCTATAGCTGTCCTATTGGATTCTGCTATGTCATATGGTCCTCATTGCAATGGGTTATTAATGGAAGTGATGTTGTGTTATTATGCTTGCTATGTTCCAAATTATTAGAGAAATAAATCTTAAAGTAAGAATTATTATGTTGTGTTGCTGTCTCTTGTCGTTTTCATTGGGTTTTTCCACGACAATAGTTTCATAATTTGAATCATATGTAATATAATTTTTATTGATTTCAATGTAATGTAAGAGTAGCTTCTTACTATTATCTAAAACAAATAATTTTTTTTGACCTCAATGCTCATTGTGCTTGTTTATTTAGCCAAATGTATGAACAGTATGAACAAAATGAAACTTATAAGTACTGTATATCCTCAACCTTAGACATATAAGAAATTTCTAAAACTATACCTACAATTTTTCAAATGACTTCACAGGATTTTGTAGCCTGGTGGCTAAAGGAAAAAAATCTCAAAAGGNAAATCAACAAAGCAACTACAGATCGCTTCTTCTTCAAAGAGGGGCCCCTTCCAGGCTATAAAACGGCCTTAATTGCCCTCCTTGACAACCCGGTTGCTAAGCTCAGAAGGCAATTAGGTAATAATTCTTGTCATAAAACACAGCTCTGGCAAAGAGACCAAACTCCCCCCTCCCTTTGGAATTTCAGCTACGCCATTAGCAAGAGCAGAACCAGCCCCAATAGCAGGACAGCAGCGCCCCCTAGTGGCCTATCTGCACATGACACCGTGGAAAAAAAAAAATTTTTTTTTTTTGTCTGCTTCTATTTTCACATCACAACAATTTGATAATTTAATTCAAGCAAGTCTACACCACTACTAGACCTTTATTCCAGTTTTGAGTGTCACAGAAGAAGGCCACATAGCCATCAATCCTTGCCTATTATTACAAGCTGAATACCCCAGTGTGTTCCAGCCTGCAACTTAACGACCAGGTGGGAGTTCATGCCTCTCAGTGGCCCTGCAGGTACGTGGTAATAGGAAGAATTTGGCTGACCTCTCTTCAGACGTCCCCCAGCGGTTAAAGGAGGAGCTGCACGCGAGCCTTTAATCCCGCCCAGAGAAAGCCCTCTAGTGGACAAAGGGTGTTCCTCGAAAGAAGATCACCCGGTAGTGATACGCAGATAGTGACCCCTAGCGGTCAAAAGGTGAAGTTCATCCAATTTGCTTCTAAATAGCTAGGAACCACAGGAGAACACTCCCAGCCACCTCCACCCACATACAGTAGCGACCCCTAGTGGTCAAACACAGAATTTATTCAAATTTGCTTCAAAATAGCTGAGAACAACACTGAACCCATCCCAAACATGGCAGAGTGGCTCATTGATCTAGATGAAGGGGTTCAACCAACCAGCCTAGTTGAGACACCCCAACCAGACGGCCAAGGAGAAGCGCTGCAAGCTGCCACCCTTGACCTCTACACAGAAGCTGAAGCTCAAGCCTCAGTAAGACCAAAGATGTCTCAAAGTCGCTATGCTCTGAGACAACAAAGAAAGCCAACTGAAGCCATGCATGCAAACCTGTTGGAGAAATGGTACACCGTGTACAAGCGCCATGAAAGAGGCTGGGAGAAATGGCACAAACTCTACCTAGAGCAAAAGGAGGATCTCTCCCCCGAACATGCTCACGCACTGGAAGAAGATAAGGAGGACGCCTACACACAATGGATGGACTCCGAACGGCAACTCAAGGACATTCAGCAGCAATTAAAGGACTCAGACGTCGACCGCGACATGCAAAGTCTTCGGTTACGGAACAAGGAACGCAAGAAGCTTCTAGAGAGCCCACAACGCCCTCCAGAACGCGAACCTCGCCCGAGAGACGGACCGGTTGACAGGGCAGAGTCTGAAGTTTCCCGCCATTCACACGCACCATCCCTACGGTCGCACGTGGCTCCATCCCATGCGTCCGGAAGGGCCTCATCCTTTCGCAACATCTCCAAGGCACATTCCAGCGTGTCACAACAGTCTCATGTCACAGGCACCTCCCGCCATTCAAAGGCTTCTTCCCGCCAGAGCCAAGCATCTCGAGCCTCAAGGGCGGAGAGCATTGCCGCTCGTCTTGCAGAAGCGCGAATCAACACTGCAATGGCTGGAGTCGCTGTCCAAGCAGCAGTAGAAGACCAGCAGCATAAGGAAGACCTGGCCAAAGCTCAAGCCAACTATGAGATTTCACAGCGACAACAGAAGGCAAAAGAGGCTGCCCAAATAGAAGCAATTCTGCAGAGAGAGCTAGATAACACTACATCTATGAACAGGCTGGAAGGGCTATCAAGAGAAAGCCCCCATAGCCGCGTGCAGGCCTACGTGGATAACCAATGCACATTCCAACATGAACAGGTGAGACCACAGCCAGCCACAAGCCCCCCAAGACCAAGTAGACGAACAGAAGAATCTCAGCTGCCAGATGTGCCAGTCACTCATGGAGTTGATGTCGCCACAACTAGGCCACAAGATCTTCCCACTGTTGCTGGCCCATCGAACCACACCCTTGATGGCAATCGGATGGGACCACCAGCAACGGCTACGACTGCACAGCGGGGAGCGCAAGGAGGCATTCCTATCCTTGCTGCCCCATTAAACCCACCGACCCATACCTTCGATACCAACCGGATGGGTCCACCAGCCACAGCAATAGCCACACAGCCAGGAGCGCAAGGAGGCATTCCTATCCTTGCTGCCCCATTGAACCCACTGACCCATACCTTCGATACCAACCGGATGGGTCCACCAGCCACAGCAATAGCCACACAGCCAGGAGCGCAAGGAGGCATTCCTATCCTTGCTGCCCCATTGAACCCACCGACCCATACCTTCGACACCAACCGGATGGGTCCACCAGCCACAGCAATAGCCGCACAGCCAGGAGCGCAAGGAGGCATTCCTATCCTTGCTGCCCCATTGAACCCTCTGAACCATACCTTTGATGGCAACCGGATGGGTCCACCAGCCACTGCTATGGCCACACAGCAGCAAGTGCAACAGCTCCGAGATGAGCTAGCCCAAAAAGAGGCAATATTAAGATGACTGGAAGCGGCCCTCTGGGGCACTACCCCCAACCCGGCTCCACCAGAAAAACGAGAGACCCTCCAACAAGTAAGTACGCAGGGATTTGGATTCCCTCAGCTCAACGCCGGAGCAGAGGAGTTCAGACCAAACCAACAAGGTTCCTCGCCAGTCACATGGCAAACCACCCTCAGCCGACAATACGCCCAAGGAGGTTACCAGCCAGCCATGGCCCACGCCACCGCTCCAATAAGCGTTGCACCACCTCCACCAGGCTACAACCCACACATGGCTGCAATGCATTTCCCAATGTGCTGTAGCAGAAGGGTGGACTTGGCAGCCAAAGGAGTACAAAAATTCACTGACAAACCTGGAAAAGACTACTTAATGTGGAAGCACGTTTTCAAGCGCGCCATCGAGTTGGAGGGGGTCGGGCCTGAGGAAGAACTTATCCAGCTGACAGCCTGGCTAGGCCCAAAATCCATACTCACAGCGAAAAACATTTACTCAGCCCATCTGGGCGACCCTGAGGTCGGCCTTGTAGAAACTTGGCAGTCAC